GGGGGGGAGGGGGGGTGTGACAGCCCTGCATCATATATATATATATATGCATGCATACAATCCGAGCAGAATAAGGCAGGCGCTCCCGCAGCAAGAGCTGCCAAAGCCCCGTTCGGGTCAGCATCTGGTGTCGGAGCCACTGCTTGAGCAGCTGCCGCTTGGGCTGCTGCTGCTTGAACCGCTGCCTCAGAGCGTCACTGCGTCAATGGCACATTTCTAGAAATGCAAGATGCTGAAGTTCGAAAGTCAATCAACATCGATCGGTGCGACCGGCACACAGCCTGTTGAGTCGCTTGTGCAGCAGCAGCCGCAAGAGCTTGATTGAAGGAATCTGGCGCTGCAGCCTCCGGCATTCCTTGGGCCGGTATCGGCGACGGCATTATCTCTGCGGGCATGGCGGCCATGGCTGGTACCTACCGGCTGGGCACGACAGCCGGCTGCCCACACATGGCGCAAGACTATAGGATCATGTCCCTGCTTGACTCCAGAGCAGAACGGCCCACGGAAGTGTCGGCAAGCAGGCAACAAGCGGTGTCTGCATGGCCAAGGCACTTCGACGCAAGACTTCGGCGGGCACTGGTTTTGGAACACGGCCCAACACTCGGCTGGTCTTTGGCTTCAGTGAACCCATGGCTCGAACTGAAGACTACGCAGTTTTGAAGCCGTTGCTACAGGCCGGCGGGAAGCTACGCTCAAGCCAGCACTGCTCGTCGAATGGATCTTTGCCATCCACCTCAGCATAGGCTTTAACCGGCATAGCTGTCGATGCATGAAAAGCCCTTTGGTACTGAATAGAAATCGTGGGCCAGCATCCAGTAGCCCACACAAGCAAAAGCATGAACTAAAGCCGCCTGCAAGCCACAGCCTACACGCGGCTGAAACCCAAAGCCACGGGTTCCTGTGCAGTCGCTTAGCGGTTGCAGCCCAAGAAGGGAGAAAAAACGATGCTTACCACAACAGCATGATACTGATATGATAAAAATCAGTATCATGGTATCCTCGAGTCCCTGAACTCCGGCGAGCAAGCCCTAAACAGTGCCAAGGGGCTGCAGACTTCGTCTTTCGGAAGTCCACAGCACTTTGTTGCCTGACTGCCCTCAGTCTGCCTTGGCTGAGAGGTGCAGATTTGACTCCGCGAACAACGCCGGAACTTCCAAGCCCCCGAAACTTTGGCCTCTCTTGCTGTAGACTTAATGCTGGACTTGCACTGACTCGCGGCATAAGGAGGTCCAGTTTCACTGACGATCAGCGCTGCAGCATGTTTCTCCAGAACCCCTATCCTCAAAACATGAGGTGCTGGCAGTTATTGAAAATCCTTTCGATACCCGTTAGAAGTCTATCAAAGGCTCTCGGCCTGTTCTGCCGGGGTTCTCTTCCATCAGTCGGCACTTTTCGCTTTGCGAGAGAGTCCGGCTTGCTCGAGCGCTTGCTTGTCTCCTGGACGCTTTTTGTGAACTTCGGCTCACAGAAATTTAGGCTCCGAATGGCTCCGAAAGAAGTTGAACCCCAGCTCCTCTCGCTATCGTAACACAGCACACCCTGAACATCCCTGGCAAGACATTTCGAAACAGTTGCGCTAGTCTTGACTTCGCCCGGAAGCTCCTCGGGAGGGGCCTTCCAGATAGTCTCTGCCAGCAGCCATCCCTTCATGTGGGGATCGGGGACTGCCCGGAAGATGACGTGGTCCCCAGGCTGCAAGCCCACACGGTCTCGCTCGCTGCGCATGAAGCGGACCATCGTCTCGTCGTCTGACTCTGAATCGGACTCAGACTCCCGCACTCCGACAACTCCCCATTCTTTCTTTTCAGAATATTTCTTTATCACGCCGCGCAGGATCCGAAGCGACGTCTCGTCCTGCCTCTCGGACACACTGCCGAGACTGACAGGTCGCTTCGCCACCTTGGGACGGCTGAAGCTGGACTTGAGAAGGATGTACATGCAGAAAAAGGTCATGGCCAGAATCCCGCAACCTTGGCTGAGATTTAATGCAGTTCTGCTTTGCTTTCGCACCGCTTAGCACCTCCCTCAATCTGCCCACACCCGGTGTTGGCTGAATTGCCAAGTTAGGTTGCTTAGGACATGTGAGAAGATGTCATCCGGCAGGATCGTCTGGGCTTGATCAGACAGTACCAGCCCGACTGCAAGAAAGGTGGATGCCAGCGCAGGAAACCAGCTGCTTTCTTCTGTGCCCGGATACGGATACGCCGGCATGGGCAGCTGTGTTCCTAGACTCGTTGACGACAATCGGCCACCATTGTCTACTGCTTGGCTTGCTTCTTAGTTGCATTCGTATTCTAGATTTCATGTACAGTCGAGGTTTGAGCAAATGAAGTAGATGCGTAGATCGAACAGATGTGGCACAAGAGTGGATGCCAGTCGGTGCATGCTGCATGCAGCCCTTCCTTTTTCTCCATCTGTTCTCTCTCCCAAATCGGTGCCAGGATCAGGTGCATGCAAACGCACCTTAACGGAATTTGGCCAAAGGCGAAGATGGGCCGTCGAGGTAGGTGTCTGCTGCTTCCTCCGGCTTGCGCTTGATCTTGGACCACCTGTTGCCATCCTTAGTCCACTTGAGCTCTTGGTTTTGCTGCTGAACTGAACTGAAGCTTACACTTGTGATGTCCTGGGCCGTGCGTGTGCAAACGTCAAACCGAGGTTCTTTACTCCAAAGCCTCGAGACCAGGCAACACCAAAAACCCTGAGCTCTAATTTAACATAGCCCCGGAACAAGCCACGGGCTCCTCAAAAAAAAGGCCCAAACTCTTGTAGCTCCGAGCATCTGGGAAAATGATGCCGTCACCGTCCCACTTGGCAACAGCATCCTTGGGCCCGCCCTTGGGCGAAAAATCCTGAGATCAATTGCAGCCGAAGGCCTCCTTCTAAGCCTAAGCTTCTCTTGGGCTCCAGGGTACAGAGGTCATCTTTCGGATCCAAAGCTTCAGGACTTCTGGTGGCTTTGGTGGGGGAAGGGGGGTGGGCTGCCACAAAATCAAGCTCAGAATCAATTATCAGCTCATCATCGGCACCTGGCAGTTGCAAACTTGAGAACAAACCTCCTCTGCGAGTTCTCTACCAACGTTCCGATGGAGAAGGGGGTGGTACAGCATGGCAGCTGCAAGGAGCTCTTTCTTCTGCACTACGGATGACTGCCTGCACGAACACGATCGCGAGGGGATGACCGCCCGACAAACGCTACTCCCCTTGTGCCATAGATAAGATGGACCCCTGCATCGGCTAGTGTGTGTTCTTTAGGAGCATTCATGAGAAATCTCATTCTCTTGTCTCACTCTTCCGGTTTTTAAGCCCTCATGTCCCTACCACCCCTCCGAGCCTTTCGTGGCGACGAGGTACCACTTTTTGGTCTTCATGTCCTTCTCACATTCTTTGGCTCCGTCGACAGAGCTGGTCCCGGAGATGACAAACTCGTCCTTGTCAGCACGGGGTCTGTGAGTATTTTGTCTTGTAAACTCCTTTTCCGCCTGCTTCAGGTCTCCCTGACACACGAGAGAGGGCTTCAGGGTCTAGGCTTAAGGACTTAGGGGTCGTCCATCTCAGATCCTGACTCAGAACTCAAGCCTATGCTGTCGATGCCCTACTCGCCCGGAAATGTTGACGGAAGCTTCAGAAAATATCAAGAACCAGGGGCCTTTTTTCTAATCCGTAAAAAGGAGAAGCCATAGCAAGGCATAGTTGCTCGTCGCAGCGAGCTAGCGGTAGACGGTTCACGGGCTCAAAAACTATGAGGTTGCGGATTCGATATCAACAGCTTGCAATACCTTTCACAAAAGGGTGCTGAAATCTCGAATTCAACCAGCAGGCAACCCTGTCACGCTGTGGGGTGTACGGACAATCAATCCGGAAAGCATTGGCTCTTTGACTCTTCTCACCAAGCACATGCCAGGGATAACAGTGGAACATCTTCGACAAGGACCTCATTTGAGGCGGCTATGGGACGGCTATCCAAAGCTTGGGGATCCCAAACAGAGTACTGTCCTCCTTGCACGGACCCGAAAGAAACCCAAACCTAAAGTCTAGTTACCTGAGCATCCCCATCATTGCTGCTGAGTGGCGCCATCCTTAGTGATGCCACGCTCGCAGCCTGCAGCAAAGACCAGTGTGGGGGTCCAGCAGGGAGCGCAACGACCCTTGCCGTGCAGCTCAAGAAGAGTTGCCTGGATGCTTGGGGTCCTTGTAGATGCCAGACCATCTTGTGATGGCTGCTTGCCTCAGGCAGCCAGAGGTGTCACAGTCATGCAACGATGACGCACGTGCACTCACAACCACGACACAGACACACACAGACAATACCTGCCCGCCCGCCCACCCTCCGACCCACCTCTCTGCCATGCATTCCCAAAGTATGCACATACACAGAGTGAGCGGAAAGGGTGCGCACACACGCACACAGACATCCGACACTGCACAACTAGTTGTACGCCCCAGGCACAACACCAACGTAATAAAATGCACTGATCGTGGCAGACTTTCGCATACGCCTGCATGCACACACTGCTTACCTGCAACGCGGAAACATGCAGGCCACTGCGCGTTTTCACACATGGCATGCATGCCAACTCATTAAGGGGGTGTATAAAGAACGCATATGAGTACCCATATGTCATGTCGGTAAGGCATGTAATGGTACCAGATGCAACCAACCAACCAACCAACCAACCAACCAACCAACCAACAAACACACACACACACAAACACAAACACGTGCGCACTTGCTGTGCAACGCCGGGAAGGTAAGCCTGAGCATCGTAAGCCATGCATGCACCGGATGCTCTGTTTCCTGCCGCGAGCGAAAAGAGCCCAGCCGGACAAAATGCCGACACAGTTAATCGAAATCAGGCCCCACCGAAGGCATCCGAGTGGGTTCCGCAGGGATGTGCTATGTTATTCAACGTACTGACGTGCAAACAAATACAAAGTGCGTGCCTGCGTGGACCAATGCTGGCAATGTGGCATGATGGGTGACAGCAAAGGTCCGATGAATCGTCGGGTGGCTAGAAGCTGCAGTAGTTACTTTCCCGTTAAAAGGTTCTGTCTGATGAGGCTCTCACGCTGGCTGGACGTCGACCACCTGCATGCCTGCTCCGGCTGCGAGTCCAGCGGTCATGCTCTTCAGAAAATCCCTTCGCGGGGAAGAGCCTCATTGAAAGGCGTGCCAATTGTGCTGAAGGATGCGGGTGTCTTGATGCTTGCACTGTGCAGTGCAGCATACCTGCAAAATATATGCTTTCCACCTAGACAGATTGCAGGTTGCCCTGGGTGCAGGCAGGTGTCCTGCAGGTGTCGCAAAGGTTGTGAACCTGACGGCTGAGTCTGTCCCATGAGATCTGGCATGATCAGCCATGCAGCTCGCCCAGAATTGGTGGCCTCGACAGTGTCACCGCTAGCCCAGCCAGCAGAATGAGCATTGCCTGCTCAGATTACGAGTTGTCCAGAGCAGCAGGTTGCCTTGTTAGAAATCGTGCAATGTCCCTGTGTTCTGGACTCATGTGAGCTTCGCTTCGTCAGACTTTGCAGCAAGCCTGAAGTCCTAGAGAGCGAGATGACAAAGCCAGCCTTGGCCCAAAGCCACACCCCAAGGTTTCATACACTTGACATGCGCCTTCGCATTCTGTCGCCTCGGCATCTCCAGGCGGCAAAGCTCTTGAAACGTACGTGTTCTGCTGGAGCCGACGTCTGGCGGAAAACGCAAGCAACGATGATTTGGGTCATAGTTGCTTGATGTCGCGCTGGCTGGATCATCTGGAATGTTGTGTTTCCCGTTGCTTCTCGAACACGACACAGTTTCGTGTTTGAAGGCTTCGTTACCGTTCGGAGTCTGCAAATGTGGTAGCGAGGAACATGAGTCACAGCTTCGAAATGCGCTTTTTCACTTGCCAAATCCACGGCGTCAGCTGCCGTACGGCTGCCGCGTTGAACCAAGAACCTGCTGCATACCGCTGCGAGCAAGCCATCGAGCACTCATGCTGTGTACATCCAGCCGTCTGCGCCGACGCTTGTACGCAAGCTTGGCGTGTGGCAGCCAAGAAGCCAACGCAAAGACCCAGCAGCCCGGGTCAGCGTTGGGTGAACTCCACCTGGCCATAGGGGTGAGCTGCAGAAGCTGAAGCTTTTGATCAGGGCAGTGCTGCCAGCCCTTGCAACGGGACCCTACTTTCTGTCAGCCGACACAGCTAGTTTGCCCTGACATCTGAGGTCTCAGACCGTGCTGCTGGGCTGCACTTCCTCCTCGCCTGTCACAGAGCAACCATCAGCCAGGTTGCGAGGAGATGCATACCACCTTGCCTACTTACCCCAGATTCTGAGGCAATTCCGGGAGGCTTGGCTCGCCAGAACTATGCGGTTTTGGCTGTCGGCGTGCCTGGCTCAGCCCTCGTGGTGAGGTCCACCTGCAGAAACCTCACGTCCCGGGACCAAACTAAGGGTCTAAACTCGATCCGAGGCGAGGCACCGGTAGAGCTTCTAACGTCTATTCTCGGGGCCTTCATCATGAGACCAGGGTTTCGGGGTATATTTGGGAATCGTACCACATAGGGACTCTGAGGGGAGACTCTTCGTCATGACTCTGCCCTCTATATGAGAGGCCTACCACTGGCACAGGGCCGAGTCCACCATAAACGCAGATTCGGCGTTTATCAGCAAGCCCTGACTTGGGAGTTTCTGAATATCGCGGACCTCAATCACTGTAGAACCCGGATCCGCGTTAGAAGGGCCCCTAAACAAGCAACCCACCCCCCCCCTCCCCCAGCCCTTTTTCCCCTGAATCCCCACTCTCCATTCTCTCGCCGAGCATCTTCTCCAGCACCTGGTCCTGTGCCAGAGTCTGGACTTGTGATGCCAAGCTTTCGAGGTAGCTTCTGAGCCCCTCCATGCGCCGGTCAGCGAAACCATCACGGTCCTTGATAGGCGAATCCTCTTTGACTGTGGCATCTTTGGTAGCAGCTTTGTCGGGGTTTTATAGGTGGAAGGAACCGGTCTGCAAGGGCGTAGCTCCGCAAACCTTGAGCACAAAGAGCACGGTCTAGAGCTAAGCTCGATCCCCATAAGACCCGTGCGGCCTGAGCCCTGAACCTCTCTCTTTTTGACATGGTTCGGCAGTTTCTGGATTTGGGCAGCTCTCTAAGGCACCGGCGAAGACTTTCAAGGGGTTCAAGACCTCCTTGCCAGGGAGCTCTGGAACTTCCAAGGACCTGCAGACAGGACTTTAGGGCCTCTGGCCGTAAAGGCTTTGGGACTTTAGCTTAGAGGCTTGTTAGGGGTTCCTAAGACTACCACGAGATAATGGGTTGGGAGGACTTGGAGGCTGTACTTGGGTTTTTGCTCTTTGGCCTTGCTTAAGGATCTTGAGGATCAGGGCTGGACATGTGACAGCAGCTGCAGCTATACTTGGACTACGAAGGTCTGGTGTCGCAGATTACTGAGGCACCGGTTCGAGTTTTGATGTCTTTCTTGTTGATTTGTTTCCTTGCCGCGCTCTCCTTTCCCCTAAATGCCAAGCCCTGAGCCCTGAACCCCCCAAAACCAACAATTCCTGTGCCAACACCTGCCTCTCGAAGCCCTGGAAACCATCTGGAACCCCATGAGAACAAAGCTCTAGAACCCAAAATGATGAAGCACGTATAGCACCGTTAGAGAGCTCTCACAATATCTTAACAGGACCCTTAGTGTAGGAACCCTGGCAGGAGCCCTGTCGAACACTCTCCAGGAAGCCTCAGCCCATTTACCCTAAACCCTGAATCCTACACCCTGAACCCTAAACCCTGAACCCTGAACCCCTGAACCCTAAAACCTGAACCCTATACCCTGAACCCTACATCCTGAACCCTATACCCTGAACCCTAAACCCCATATCCCATACCCTAAACCTTTTCAAGGCGGTGCCTGGACTTTTTCAGGTCGCCGTCCAGCTGGGCAAAGTCGTTGTAGCGGCGCTGCACCGTCCAGCATCTGCCGCTCCTTCGCAGCTTCGGGCTTTAGGGCTTTCGGGTG